CTCAAGGGTGATGGTCTTGCCAGTGAGGGTCTTCACAAAGATCTGCATGTTTGCACCTATGTAGAATTGAGATACATTAAATCAGGACTTCATAAAAAAAAAGTATTTAAAAAAAACCGTTTAGTATTAAGTAATTAATCTTGAATTACAGTAGTTACAAGTAAATGTATCCTTTACAACCCTTTAATTTCTTTTTACACAAGACATAGCTAGCTCTGGCATTACCTTTACGTTAAATTCAGTTATGTTCATATGAGGGTCAAATCAAAATAAAACAAAACTAAATACTAAACTAAAATAATATATTGAATTATAATAATAAAAATAAATGTGAAGCTGTGAACTATCGGCAGCTCATCGGCCATTCCAGCCCGAGCGCCATTTTGAGATCATACTGACCTTCCTTTTGTTCCGCTACCAGCTAATGGACGATACTGGAAATGATGAGTCACTGCTGTAGCTAACACTAGCTAACCACTACCGCCTTACAGTTTCGTCGAAATCAAAGACGAACTGCTTGACGTTGAAACTCTCAAGAAACCTGTATGAAACTAAAAATAATGTAGCTAAACCACTTAACGTCAATTTGAGACACTTTTAACATTCGCTATAATTCTCTTAAGCCAATACTAAACTTTAAAACCACGCCACACGTCACCAAAGCATCCACTGTATACATGTTTTGAAAAATAATGATAATACAGCTCGAAACAATAGAAGAAAATGACTTACTTCTTAAAGACGCAGTAAATTCAACTGTTGTATTCAACTTGTGCAGAACCCCTTCTTCAAGTCTTCTTGTCAAGTGTACTGCTGCAGTGCAGACAACACTGTATTATATACCGGAGTCGGCATACCTCATCTCTCAATATCCGTCCGCATTTGAAAGTAGTCCCCCCGATCAGTAACACACTGTTTCAACATATAGTAGTTCTATTTACAGTTTTATTTTGTTTTATAATAATACGTTTACTTATAAACGTAAATGTTTTGACAAAAACCGTGCGCTTTAAAACGATAATTTGACATATTCTTTGCGGCGGAAGAATATTTTACCGCACTGCGTCTAGAATTTGCTGGAACCACCCAGAGCCACCATAGCAACAGGAACCTTCCCCGAGCTTCTGATTGGCCTGTACGATTGTTTGTTTGACCGCCGATTGGTTGCTGTGTTACAGTAAGTAATGTTTAATGAATACGTTACTTTTATGACTATGGGCTTATAAAACAGACCTGTTCCCGAATTATACAATACCAATAGACAAAATCCTGTGTAATTCTAGGCCATGATAGTGTAGCGTAGGTATTATACGTGGATATTTCCACCTTACTACAAAATGTAATATCATAACCATTGTCAGGGCCTCTTCAAGTATAAATGACTATGCGTTTATGTGACACGCAAGAGCGACGTGTGCAGACATAAATTCCGCTGAACGTGCCAGTTAACAGATGGAAACGTGCTTGGCAAACATGTGCTACCAGCTGTTGTGACAGCAGGTTAAAGTATTTCGGGCAAACAAGGAGATAACACTGCTTACCGACCCCCTTTACCCACCTGATTGTATTCACTCACAATCCTTATCCACCCGAGGTTTCTTATTACACAGGCCATCTAAATACAGAATACATTCACGATTTGTAGCCAACATGAACACCGCTGCCAAATATGTAATTTGATAAACAGAATTTGCTGATATTGGTTATCTGACAGCCACACAGTACAGTCACGAGCACAGACTGTATGGTCATGACCTTAATACTGAAACAAGTGATGTTTGAGACCCAGAGGGACCATATTTGGTTGGCCTAAAGATATACTGAGAGTGTTCTGCCAGATGTCATTTAGGCTTGTTTTAATCTAACGTTAGGTGTCTTTACTGAAACTACATGTGAAGCTGTTGCTGTGTGGCAGCACTGACATGTTTGTTTTAATTCTGCTTACCATGACATGCTGTACAGAGAGCAGATTGTTGAGTAACCATTCCTATGAAAAACATTTGTATGACAGAAGTAAAAAGGACACTCACAAGCAGTTAATGCACAGCGTTAACACAATTCTCACACACTCTTAAAGCCTCTCAGCATTTGGTTTGCTTACAAGACACAATAGGATTATATACAGAAGGATATTGTTTTCATGGCTAAAGCTCATATGATATCAGATCAGATTATTTTCTATCTTCTTTGTTATTTACTTGAGTAATTTATCCCAAGGAATAATGGTAAGTATTATTCATTGTACTGTCAAAGTCACGAGAAAGGGCTTGCTCTTGTTTCATGAGCAAAAGTCTAACTATGGCATGATGTCAACGCCCAGGTGATAGGCCTACTCTTGAACACTGATTAAATAAAGTGAGTTTCTGTGATGTTCCTGGAGTGAAGTGACCCAGCTGATTAAACATGATACGAGAACGAGTATATAAGATTTAGGTCAGTCTCCAAAGTTGGTTATGGGAACCAACACAGGACCATGACATAGTAAAGAGTGCACAGATTTCTGTCTAACCTTATTACTGGCAGCTTCAAGTAGCAACCAGTGATTTGACCACTTTATAGACAACTGTAAACTAAATAATCAAATAGCAAAAACTCAGATGGGGGTCTGTAGTCTACTTGGGTTCTATTTCTGGGTCATAGATATAACACAGCTGGGATAGTCCTAATTTATGTATTTGGGTCACAGCATTCCCTTTCCCCACCCCTGCAGCACCCTGTCATATGACACCCAACCCATGATGCACCATGCAAATGCTTTCCAGCACAAAGCAGAGCGTCTGGCTGAACTAGTTCAACCTCTGAGGAATGTGTTTGTGCAAGTCTGCTGTACTTTGCCCTGCCCCTTGCATGGAATAATTACTGACTGACTCAGTGTTCCAGGAAAAACGATCTCTCAAGCAGGATACAGGCCTAGCCGAGTCCTGTGGACGCTGCCTTTTATCACGTGAAAGAAAGTGTCTGTGGCTCGGCACAACAAACTTGACGTTGGCTTTTCATAGAGGTACCCGCCTTTGAATTGAATTTACATATTCAATGATTACATTGATAGCTGTGACTGTGTCAAAGGTTAACTAGCAGGGAGGTTTTTAATGTAAATGTGACTCTTATCAGTGTTGGACGTTGACTTGTGTTTTCTTTGACAGGGTGATTTAGGGTGGGACCTTAACTTCCACATCAACAGGTTTCACAATAAACACGTCACACCAGTTTCACCAAAACAGTTGGGTTACCCCTTCCTTGTTGTTTTCTTGTTGACATCAAGGTCACTTAAGCAACGCTACACATCCCAGAATAACTCAAATATGAACATATGTATTCATCATGATGGTTTGTTATTTTCTCTACAGAATGGATCTTGTGAAACATACAGGCGGCTGCCACTGTGGGGCTGTTAGATTTGAAGTCTGGAATCCCCCAGACCTCCATGTTTTTGAGTGCAAGTATGGATATTAAACTCGATGATATTGTCTCATAATCTTCAATAATACATGTGAGATTAACCATCTAAAATATATTGGCAGTCTCCTGCCTAAAAATGTAATTCTAACACACAAGCTACATTTATACGTTTGGATTAAAAATGAACATAAATCCCCAAAATATCGTTTTCTTTGCTTGTATTCTTTTTGGCAAATCAAAAAACTGATTTACGTCTGTTTCTCCAGCTGCAGCATTTGCACAAAGAAACAAAACCATCATTTCATTGTTCCAAAACATCACTTCACACTCTTACAGGTAGTAAACTCAAGCAAAAGAGTTGATTCACCTAAAAAGTTCATTTTTAGTAAATAAAGACATTTTTCTTCTTCCCAGGGGTCAGATAATCTGACCATTTACACCTTTAACACTCACGTTGCTAAACACACCTTCTGTAAAACCTGTGGAGTTCAAAGTTTCTACACCCCGCGCTCCAACCCTGATGGATATGGTATGACCGCTAACTGCGGACACAAGACAGTCACAGCATTCTCATGTGTTGTAAACTTATTTCATCATCCTGCTGTTTACTCCAAACTAACTCTGTGGTGTTTACACCAAACTAACCAACCCAGCCTGCTCTTTAATGCCATAGATTTATGGTATTTGTAGAAAACAGAAATGTTCACAATGGGAGATACCAGTGATCTCAGGAAACCACCCATGAAACCTAATATTTTGTATTATCAAACCTGTAAAGACAGGTTGTCAATTAAATGTGCAGGAGACAATAGACTGTTTTGTTCATACACAATTCAATGAGCTGTCCTCTGTTGCTGTTGTTGTTTTCTCCCCAGGTGTCGCTCCACACTGTCTGGATCCAGGTACTGTCCGCAGTGTCACAGTGGAGAAGTTTTGTGGGGAGAAGTGGGAAGAAAGCATGCAAGCTCACAAGAGCATCAGAGACATGTCGAAACCTGCAGCAGACACACAGCTGAGAGAAACTAAATAACACCACTCTGATACAAGAATCAAACTTTTTTATTAACTGTAAATACTGTACAATATCTTTGAAATAATAAGATAAATTGGTTTTATACAGTGTTATGACTCAAAACAATAAATATGTTCTGTTTGTGTTATTTTTTTGTGTTTTATTGCCAGCTGTATTTATGGAAAGTGCTTTTGAAAAAAGGCCACATTACACTGTGAGCAAAATAGCTCATCAGATTTATAAACAGCTAGTACATTCACTCCGACCACAGTTAGTTAGGCAGTGGGACGACTAACACAGTAACAATCAGATCATCTGGATGAACTAAACTTTAATAGATCTTCAGGTTCTTGGGTCCTTGTGGGATAATTTGGAATGTGTTTATGAACATGTACCGAGAGAAGGCGATGTAAAGGTAACGAAACCACAGGAGTTGAGAGCGATGGCAAAACATGGCATCCTGAAAAGAAAAGAGGGTTGTTTGAGATGTTATATAAGCCCTAACAAGATAATTGTAAAATCTCATTTAACAGCAGTAGTATTAAAAAAAAAAGATTTGTGTAAATGTATTTCTTTTTTTCTTATTTCTATAACATTAGCTTGATGAGACATAATTTAAAACGTTATCTCCACTCAGCACTTACACTGTATATAGCCATATTATAATGTGCTAAAACATGTGCCCCTACAAATAGTAGACTGTGACACGTCTTTGCCAACAAAGTGTCTATTTCGAGGCTTACTTTGGCTTGCCTGTATCCCTGTGAGCCTATAACACAGCACAGACATGAGGGCAGCAGCCAGCTGAGAGGGAGCTCCAGGAAGGAGGTGTACTTCCTGAGGAGGCCAACAGTCACAAGGGAGAGCAGACAGCAGTCTGGGAGAACAGACAAAGACCCAGTCAGCTGTTAATATGTTAAACACTCACTACAGCAGCAGACAGATAACTAGGCCTTTCTCTCAGGTTGTTCAAATGTTTTTATTATGAAGCAACCTTGTGTCACCACACAATAGAATATCTACACCAACTTTATTTTTCTGATGTCAGAAAATAAGACTGGATAACCCGCTACAGAAATATCCCATTATATTACAGAGTTAAAATGGTACTGAAGTTTTCAAACTAACTCTTGAACGTCTTGAACGTCTTGAAGCAGGAGTTTATGGGGCACAAGAGGCTTAAAGCTTTCAGTAACAGGCAGGGAGTCTTGCTGTACAGCCAGGTGAGGAGGCTTATTACAGTCACATTGGGCCTAATTCTCTGCCGCGTCTCTTGGAGGCTACAGTGAGACCAGTTAACAGGTGAGGTGTAAATGCCTGGTAATAAATAACCAAAGAGCACGATTAATGACCTACTTGCTGTTTTTAAGGTTGCTCACTGCTCGCTGAAAAGGGCAAGACAGACTGAAGTCATTCTGCTCTAACTAAAGAGTGTGGTTGCTGCAGCCTAGGGACTCACAGTCCAGTCCTAGCACAGTCCAACCATTGAGATCTCATATATGATTAACTACACGGACCTGCTCAGCTTGTTCCTTATCGTCCTGTCTATTCAAACATTTATGTGGGTGTACTCTGTGGACCTTAATGTTTACCAAACTAGCAAAGTAATGAGCTCTGCTGTAACATGTCACCTACTTTCTGTCCTGCATTTCCTTTCACATTCTGTTGAAGAAATCCCCCCCCCCACCCCTCCTCATCATCATCATCATCATCATCATCATCATCATCATCATCATCGAGACCTTTCAGGAGCAACCGAAAGTGGAAATTCTAAAGTTCTATCTGGGTTGAAATAAAACACAAGTTGACATACATTTTGAGCATGCCTGGAGTAAATATATGAAGAGACAGATTTTAACATCTGCCAACAAAACAGAGTTTGAAACTACTAACATCTGGAATACAGCCGTCATATGTATTTTAAGAGGAACATGGTTGAAAAAAAGAAACATTTGTTTTTCAACTGATGTTTCCGATATCCAACTGGCCTCATGCTGCCACCAGCAGACCAAAATGTATATAGACACAAGAATCATGCAGCCCTTTTGGACAGAAGAGGGCGCTGTGCATTAACAAAATATGCAGCCTGAGTCAGTGTTTACAGGACTTTCCAAGGTTCTCAATGAGGACTGGACGTCACTCCTGTCTTATCTAATTGTGAAACAGTCTGTGTCTTTAGTTTAAAGTGCTACTTAAAGCTTAATGATTGATACAACTTTTGTTTGAGCATATGTACTAAGTTTCATTGTAATTCACATATCTAATGGAGACTGTTTCTGCTTTAACAACTGGCTCAAGAATTTTGAGACAGTTGAGACAACTTTTCTAACAGTGACCATTAAATCCAATCCGTGATACTTTGGACGCTGATTTTGAAAAATATAAACTTGAAAGTGTGTCGAACCTACCGTTGGGTACTTGTCCAGTAGAAGCAAGATGGCTGCAAATGGAGAGAATAACAATGTTACCCACAGAAACTATCAAGGATGTAATCAAAGAAATTAAACAAATTACTGAGAGGGTTTGTGTTGGCAACCTTTACAAAAACAGTGTGATGTTTCTACTTGCCAATATGTAACTGAGATTATAGTTTTGGTTACACTGATTACAACACAAACAGGTAAGCAATCAGCAACTAGAAGCCCACAGGAAAGGCCATGGAGTGCTGCAGCCAAGCTAGTGCTAAACATCCACCAGAAAAAACATGATTTCATATTCTACTGCTACAACAGTAACTTGTCTTCAAGTAGTGGTGGGAGCACAGTCAAGTTTTCCTTTCAAACTTTCATTTCCATGTGCAATGGAAAGCTGTTAACATTTTTGACAAAAACAAAACCCAACAACAAACATTGAGCTTTAGAGCACTGTGAAACTAGCGCACAGCCCCTCTGGGTTCCAGCCTAATGGGAATCATGAGATGTGATTTGGAGAGCTCACATCTTATCAACAGATGAGGCCCACAGATTGACAGAGAGCCATATAGGCTTAGTGAGGGAAAAGACCATGACTAACACGGCAGACAATTAAGGCATCAGTGCACCATGGGGACAGCAACGTACATTTACAACGTTTATTTACACTTCATGGTGCAAAACACTTTTTTTTTTTTTAAACCAACAGTCTGATGCAACTTGCTTCGTTGGCCTCTCCAAACCAGAGCTGCCCTCCCACCTCACCACTTCAGGGACAGGATTTACTGCTGCTCTCTGGGAGCAAAGCCGAGTGCCTCTGAGGACTCTGTTTGGATGACCTCTCAGCTATGTAACAGACCAATTCTGAAAAACATGGTGTGTGTGTGTGTGTGTGTGTGTGTGTGTGTGTGTCTTTGTGTGGAAACATTTGGAAAGATTGATGTTGATGCAAGTCTAAATGTTGTGCATTTTCCTGGATGGTGTTTTATGATTATCGAGTGGTTTCTGTGTGCATGTGTAAGCCACACAACATCCCTGAGGATGGCATCTTTAAATGGTGTGATTTAAAAAAATAAGAAAAAAGAAAAATCAAAGCTTTAAAGTTCAGTCAGTACCTGACAGCTTTATGGAGGGCTGTGTGATTGGCATGGCCACTCACTCCTCTTCCATCGAAGGTCAGCACCTGAAACAACAAAATATCTCATTGTGTGGGTGAAGAGCCAGAATCTGGGTATCTAAAAGTGAACTGAAATAAATGGAGGCAAAAACAGAGGGAGAGATTTTTCTTGGGTTTGTGGAAAGGTTTCTGTGTCTGACTATGGAGCTGCTTGGCAGCTGACAACTGATATTTAAAAACCTTTTTCTGTTTGCATTTTTGCACACCAGAGGAAGAAAGAGAAAAAAAAATCAGGTCAAAGGGAAAGAAAAAGTGCTTGACTAAAGACTTGGCATTTGGTATGCTCAGGAGTATTCTACCATGACTATGTCTTTGCAATCAAGCACAAGTTTCAGCTCCCAACCACCACATTTTATAAGAACTTTGAATCTCTTCATTCTTGCTGGCTTGTATATGGAAAAGCAGTGGATTGACACACAACACACACAAGGAAACAATATAGTTCAGCAGAAGTATAAAAGTAATTTAGGTATATATATTCAATAGAGAAGATGTTTATGGGTGACATGATTCTCCAGTCTACTTTTTGGTCTGGAGGCATTTTTGTGCTGCAGAGCCTGACAGGATGGGAGGAGACGGTGTGTTTGTTTGTCGCCTTTGATAACATAAAGAGATCAGCAACTACAAGATAGAAGAACCCAGCGGTGTGTAATCATCTTCCCTAAAGAACTGTGGGTGTTGTTGATATTGCTGCTGTACTTTCTGTTGGTCTGAGCATTTGACTATACTTGCCCCTGTTAAGATAGATGGATGAAAATTCTTTGATTCTAAATTTGCCACATTCCCATTAGCTAATAGTGCGGAACTACACTGGGACAGATAAGGATTTGTGTGTAAACACAGAAAAAGAGTCCAAACTTTCTACTGCAGTAGAGGCCACTTCCCCTCATTTTCAGGGAGGCTCAAAGTACAGTCTGATGTGGACAAAAAAAGACAGCGGCTGACAGGACTATTACACAGACCACAGTGAAACTGGGATAATGAGCGAGAAAGCGGTGGAGCCAAAACATATTGTAAAAACAAAACAATACATAGATTTTGTACACAGAATAGCAGGGAAATTGTGTGTTAACATCAAACAGGAAATGGCAGAAAAGCCACTGCTTTGAAAGAAAGAATTTAGAGCTGAGCATACCATGTTGAAGGAGTGAACTCTTATGTGCTTCACAATTATAGAAGAGACCAATGAGACACTCCATTCTGCTTTGGGATCGTCTGGAAGTTTTCTGGAGGGCAAAGAAAGGGATCCTGGTTATCTACTAAGTTACTTAGATACAACAGTGTTTAATGAGAACTCAAGAGCATTCTACACAATGTATTAAACCTGCTGGGTGTTAGGCTGAGCTGTCTTATTCTTTTCTGAGCACCAGATTTCTGAGTGCAGATTTAACCAGGCATTTGAAAAAGAAAAAAAAGAGGCTGTTGTGGAATGCAAACACAAGGGAGTGCTGCTGGGAAGTCTAGGGGTTAAGGGTCAGAAGGCCCTTAGCATCATGTTCATCTGCGACTGCAGCCTGGAGACAACACAGAGCGTACATCAAACATCACACATGGCCAACTCAAGCTTTAGGCCTTACTAAACATGCACAGACTGCCTTTTCCCCTCAGTTTAGAAAATAAAAGCATTGCTTTCTATGGTTGTTCAATGTCCCACATGAACTTGAGACAGCAGCCACAAAAAATAAAGGGAGAAATGTGCTTAAAAACCTAGTCAGGCAGACTCAGATATGAGGTGGACCAACATGGTTCACATAAAAAACAAAGTCTTGAAGGATTGCATTTCAAATGGAGCAGATCAAGTTTGTCATTTATCGTTTCTCTGCTTTATGTTGATCAAAAACACAACTAACAAAAGAAACTGACAGGACAGTTTGGAATAGCAAACTGTGAGGGTCTTGGTTCAACGAGATAAGCAGGCAGATCAATGACATGACGTGTTGTTGTACAAATGGGGTAGCACAAGTGACATGCATGTGTATATAGATGTAAGTGCATAAAGTGGGGGTAGGTGTGGGGGGGTGTCAACGGTTGTCCCCCTCCCCCTTATTGCTAACAATGAGCCAGGACAGTTGAGTTAATAGAGGGGAAGTGATGGATTAGGCCACAAATCTATTGGCTGCCAGTGATGTGAGGGTCAAGCTCTGGTGTAAGGGGTGGTGAGGTGGGGGTTGGCTATGTCACAGGGAGAAGGGGCGGAGGGTCAGGGGTTCAGAGATAGTTTAAAACTGTCTGTCATCGAGTGAATGCACTGCTGTGACACTTTGATACCAGTGACATATCATAAGCGCTGTGTGTGGGTTTACAATGAAACTGTGAAATGGAATCTTGTTTAGACAAATGTTAAATCATTTTAATTAGTTCATTAATTAATTAATAAAACACAAGGATAATGTCCTAATTTCTGTCTGCTTTAGACAGAAAGCTAATAGAAACAAGCAGAGGCTTCTGTTAGAATTTGGCCAAAGTGCATGTATATTAAGTACTGAAATATCACATTGAGCTCACAGCTATCTAACTATCTGTTTTTTGAATACTGCATTTTTTTTCTCACTGCATTTATTCATTTATTATTTTAGACGTTTTGCCTTACAACTTGACAACCACAGCTAAGCACAAGCCTGCAAGGAGGGGGTGAAAAAAAAGAAAAATGAACAAAGGATATAAGACACCTGACCTTTCTAAAGCAGGATGCAGGCAGAGTGTCAGCTTCACCATGGCAACAGTGCAAAATGTCCTAAAGTAACCTCCACAGCTCCCCCTTTGTAGCTTTGCATGTGGAAGTCTAATTGCTTGCAGGCATCTGTATGCAGTTGTTGAACTTTGGTCCAGTAAGGGGATTCTGTGTGTGTGTGTGTGTGTGTGTGTGTATCAGAGAAGGCTTGTTTAGTCTGGTCACATGGACCACAGGCCTGCGAAACTGCCAGACTTCTGTCCACACAGTCATATTATATGTCCTGCTGGGAACGGCTGAGATGCCACTACAAACTGACAGTACGCCCACAGGATCCCACTGTAATAAGGCAGTTACAACTATAGTAACAACACCAACAGACACAGGTTGTTTCACAATGTTTTGGAGACATTTGTGGTTGCAGGTTTTGCCAATATTCATGTTGAGGTACTAAACTTTCATGAAAATAACCATGAAATAATGTTGTTGTTTTTAAAATAAGTTGTGCAGAAAAGGAGGAATATAATGTGACAAAATTAAAGTTTGTTGCTGGCTGTGGGAGGCACTAAATGTAAAAAGCAACTGGAAACACACAGCCAGAGGTCAGTGGCAAGGCTGGGACAGCTCACCGCTATTTACTGCTCCCTGCCATGTGCTTAAAAATCAGCGAGGGCTATTTTTACCACTGATCAATGTGTATTTAAACCTTGTGCGGGGATAGGGTGCTAACTGCAGCAAATACGTATTTTCTTTCCAGAACAATACATGCATACAGAGAATTACAGGAATTCAATGAAAAGCAAAAGCTTTCCGTTTGAGATTGAAGATTTATTTAACTCAACTAACGTAAGTTATCATGGATGGAGTCAAACGGTTAAAATGAGAAAGAAATGCAGGGGGTGAGACAGTTGAGAGTTGCCTCAGTTCAGTCTGATGGATAATGTAATGAAGAAGTGGAATGGTTGGATTTGTGCAGTGAGCAGCTATAATCGAGTCCAGGGAGCAGACAGAGGTCAAGCCAGTGCAAGTGTAGAGGCAGCAGAGCGTGCTCAGATCGAGCTTGATCACAAAGGCCCCAAAATGCACTGGGGCCCCAGATACTGTCAACACAGCTGTCCTATTCATTGAGAATTAAAGGGAAAATCCTATTTTAAAACAGAATTCACGTGTTATTCCTGTTATTCCATAGGCTATGGTTGTGAGTGAGCAAGTCTCACTCAAATCGTGACACAACTCACACTGCGCGCTGGACTTTTGTTGTAAAGTTGAGACTTTAGCTCGGAAAGTCCAGTGGATCCTGTGCACCCCACTACCCTGGTGAATGCGATGGCAGTACATAGTCACAGCCCATATTGCAATCTCTTTCTTATTTCTAATACAGTTTGACCCGGGTTGACAATATTTTCACTCCACTTGTAAGATGACAATGTTAATTAAGGTGTCCTGTGGAGTTTTCTTGTAAACAAGCATAAACAACAAGCCACTCATAGAACAACTGCTCCATAACACTACCAGAGGTCAAAAACTCCACAGGGAACCATTATTTCTTATAACAGGATGATATGAATTACATTTGGCCTTATACAAATACACTGCCAGCATTACATTAATTTGAACCATGACAGGATTTTAAGTGCGATGGCTAACTTTCCAAGGCACAACACACTTGCCGGTTTGTGTTTGCATTACAGTAGAAATAAAACCCAGCTTGGCATACAAACTCAAGGCAAATATTTTGAGCCCACAAAGGTTTTGTCCTTTGATAGCATCACATAAAAATCTCAGTTCTTGAGGCAAGGCGCTCATTTTCATAGCTATTGTGCTTGTTTTAGACTTGACATAATATTTGATGACTTCATTGTAAGCCTTCAACGCATGAGAGATTTGCCTGGAGATCAGTAGCGCAAGTACTGTATATAACCACCTCAAGTCATCATTGTCTAACCCATTATCCATCTAAAGTCTGCATGAGTTTGTGGGGAAACCAAACAGTGATTTAGTCTCTGTAGTTTAACAGTTATTTCCAAAATGACTAAAGCTTATAGGAGTATTGTTTTACAGCTGCACAAACAACAGAAGCCATGATATGTTTACCATGCAGATCCAAAATCCAATATCTTTCTCCATATCCTCTACAGTTTCCTCATTGACAACAGCTTTATAGGTTAATGCGATTAAAGCAGTAGCGAAAATACAGGAAACATAACGGATAAAACTGAACTTTGCAATTATTTGCCTACAAAACACACTATGATGTACAAGCTATTTAAGAAGGTCAATGGACCTTGAATAATTACTCCCAGGCTCCCATTCCATAATGAAAGGTTACAGCACGTGCTACAATACATGGCATGGATGGGTGGTAAGGGAAACAAAAACATTGTCTGTTAAGATCAATAGTTTGGAGAAGACTGATATGGAACTGTAGTATATGAAATCATTTACTCTGTGTTTAAGCGAAACCCATTTATAAGTAGTTTAATGAACATATTCCTACATTTTGTCCATTTATATAAAAGAGGATATACACAAAGTATCAATATAATGCAACTAACCAACAAACTACAGCCTCCAAACAAAAACATATCATTATAACCTACATGCTGGTAGGAATAATTGCAGACTGCATTTGTTTTAGCTAGGCATACCTAATAAACTGGCAACTGAGTGTAAATGCTGAAATTACTTTGATAAGACACACTGAGCTTGTGTTTCTATTCAAATTGTCTTTTTTCTGTTCTCTACCAATGTTTGCAATGCATCTTTTTCTTCCTCTGTGCACAATAAAATGACCAGTAAGAAAAACAGGGAAAGGTCAAGCCAAGGATGTACATCTGCACATACTTGGCCAGAGAAGGTTAAGAGCAAAGCCAAAGTGTGGCT